TGAAATGTAGACCTTCGTTTATGTGTTTTTGACCTACACTGTACATGACGTGAGCACAGACTGCTATTTAGGTTTGTACGTTAGCATGGACTCACTAACTTTAACGTTAGCTAGTTTTAGCCAGAGATACCTTGCTAAAGCACAAGATGACATTAACGTTCTGCTTGAGCAGATGAAAATTGTAAATGAGAGAATACGGCATTCAGAAAATTAACGTTTTCGTCTTCATTGGGATTGTCGTTGAATGCTTAGGGACATTTTGCTCTGTTTTGTTTGGGTTTAGGAAATGGAATAAAGTATAAGTACCACAGGCACATCGTTTTATTATTTTTATAGCATAAACACCATCAAACCGATGAAAGCTTCGGATCTTCCAATGTTTCTCTATGGCGCTGAAACCTAAAGATGTCCGAGTTCCGGTTCGTGTGCAACTGATACTCAACTGCCATTGGCTCATCTGCGTTCGAGGGGAGGGGCTTACCAATAAGTCAATTGTTAGTCAGTGGCAGTTGGTATAGAGTGCAACCAGGGGCGCCGTAATTAAGTGCAACTGTTGGGTTTCGGTGGTTAAAAAAAATAATAAATAAAAAAAAACAACTTTTTTCAAAATTTTTTCGAACAGGAGAACTGATTTTGTACGATAATTTATAAACCTTTAAAGAAAGACCTACTGTAAGCTATGAGGTTGTAATCAATAGTATATGCTATATACATATTTATATATATATTTTTAAATTAGCACTAGCAGAATTCCTGGTGTAAAACTACATTACCCATAATTCTGCTGAGGAATTCCACCAATCAGTGAATTGCAACAAGCAAATTGAGCCAAAAGATCTCTTTTAACTCCCTTAAAGCACTGCAAATTATGTAATGTGGCTCCATCTAAAATCACATACTTCCCTACTATTAGGCACAAAACATTGCACATTTGATGGACACTTAACTATCCCATGAGGCCACGAGAGAGGATTTGCAGTAAATTAAGCAACTGACGAATGTAGATTACATTCATAGTCAATAGTGTATATTCTTCATCATCTATAATTTATTTACGCCATTTGCAATGCTTCATGGGATTGTAGTTTTTTTCCCTCGTGGACAAAAATTTGATTGGACTAGACCATGAGTCGTCAATATTTTAGGTACATTTTTAAACATTTCGGTTTGTAAATACTTAGGAGAACACTAGCATGTAAAGTGAATACCATCAAAGCTAACAAATATGGATTTCATGAAGTCTATACAGAAACCTCATTAACAGAACTAATACTTTCCTGAAGACGCTTTGCAAAGCATCTGTTGAAATCTCAAAGAGAATAGACAATTTCATCCTCCTAGTATGGGAGATATTCGTTTAAACAAGCAAACTGCGTCGAGAGTGATTCTCTTTAGTTGAAGGTTGTAATACACTGAGAAATACTGGACTGACAGCTTCCGTTCTACAGCGGCCGAGCGTCGAGAACTGAGAGTGCACAATGGAAGGTGAGTGTGAAGATAAAAGGGATACCAGCAAGTAAACACGATAAAACTTTTAGTGAGTTTTAGTTTTGTTAAGTCTCCTTGACGATAACGTGCTGTTATGGTTTGAAATTAGGCTGTTTCTGAAAGATGTTCTGTCAGGGAAAGTTTGGAGGACTAGAGCATCTGAACGAACCGCACGTTTTTAAGTTTCTGTAGAGAAACTGTCTTCAGATACAAACACTCACACACTACGAGTCAAAAGAAGTGAGTCGGTGTCATCAACAATAATTAAACAACATTTGAGCATGTATGTGCTACTCTTCCAAACCAAAACAATAGCCAGCGAGTGGTTTTAGATGCTGACAGCTTGGTGTCATACTTGGTTAGATTTACCTCCACTCGATTCTTTCTTTTTGCAACTAAACTGAATCTCAAGCCATTAAATTTATCACTCTGTTTAATCACTGCCAATGCATTTTCAAATGCTCAAAGGATACAAACGCAAGTGTGAGGTTGCTTTTACACAATAGCTCAATACACAAGTTAATGCTGAGATACTTACGTTTTAGACATATATTGCGATTTATTTTGTCTTTTTTGCTCCATAAGCAAAATTTGTTCCAACTGAAGTAACAACAATCAACCGCAGCTGCTCCGAGCAATGCATAAGAGGTGCTTTCAATCATTGTTTGAACAAATCGATCGAGTCAAAGATTCAATTAATCATTTGGCTCCACCTACTGACGTAACTTTATAGAGTCACTGAAAAGAAGTGTTAAGAACACAACACTGTGTTATATAGCGTAGAATGACTGTCATATTCATATACCATTTTTTTATGCATAGTAAAAACAATAAACATGGTAAAAAGTACAGTATTACCATGATAAGTGATGTGAATTATAAAACCCGTGGAGTGCTTCCAAACTGACAAGAATACATAGAAGTGACGAGGTAAACAGAAACAAACAACACGATTGGTAGTGTAAGATTACTTTTACATAATAGCGCAAATTAATAAAGAGAATCATATTTTAGACATATATTGGCATTTGTTTTGTATTTTATGCCCCGTTAGCAAAATAGGTCTAAATGAAGTCACAACAATCATCCAAAGTGTCTCTGAGTAACACACAGTAGAAGTGATTCAGCTCTTAATGAATCAGTGTTTGAACGAATTGGTTGAGTGAATGATTCAATTAATCACTTGTCGCCACCTAGTGAAAGTCACTGAAAGAAGTAATAACTTCTTTTAAGTAATAAGTGTTATATAGCGTAGAATGGGTCATATTCATATACCATGGCAAGAATGGTAAACATGGTAAAAAAAAAAAAAGTACATATTACCATGATGCCAAGTGATGTAAAAAAATATGTATAAAACTCATGCGGTGCTTCAAAACTGAAGAAAATATAAACAAGTGAGTTTATAACTCACTTGTTGAGTAAACAGAAATGATGAGGTAAACAGAAATAATTTTTATGAAGATTTGTTGATGCCAAAAAATGCTAAGTGAATTATCATGGTGTTTACATGTCATGAAGGATGACTCGTGGCCCCATTAGCAGCTTAGCTGCTTCACACTTTCATCATTAGGAGTGTTTTAGCACCAGCAGAATCACTTTCTTACAAAACCTTTTAAGATCAAACACATTTACACTTGCATTTCTGCCAAACTTTTAGGCTATAGACACCAAACGTTGTTTGTTTTTGCTCTACACTCACATTTTGGGTTTGCAATCCTGATCATAATTCATCTTTATTAAATAATGATGTATTTATTTCTTATACTTACAAATATTTCTTATTTTCGTAGACGTCGTGCAACTTTAATACATGTGGATGTTCTATTAGCTTCAAGATGGCGATCTCTCGCTCCACCTGTGGAGAAATAAGATAAAAAAAGATATTGAATTCACAGCACCAATAATTCAACTATAGTAAGCAACAATACTAATCAAATAAAACATGTAACATTTCATTCATTCATGTATCTATCTTTCATAAATGAATACTGTCAAAACCTATAATGGGTACTTTACACATTGTCATACAAACAATCAGTAGTTCTATAAGATCAAGCTGCATATTTCTGATTAACTAAAATAACCGACTTATTGATGTCATTTTTTCGGGAATCGACCTGTACTGGCCACGTTGTATGTTTATTTTGTATATTTTGATTCACTAAAAACAATTGTCTCATAAGATTCATTTATTCATGAATTGGACTGTACAGTATGGTGCATTTCCCAAAAGCATCATTAGCTAACTATGTAGTCGCAAGTTCCATTGAACTTGGTCACGACGGAACTTGCAACCATAGTTCCTTTTGGGAAACCCCTGGTCACATTTTATGTTATTGATTCACTACAAAGAATCGACTCATTAGAGTCATTCATTCAGGAATCAAACTGTACTGATCATGTTTTAGGTTTTTGATTCACTAAAAATAATTGACTCAGAGTCATTTATTCGGGAATTGGACTACACCAGCTGCACTGTATGTTTCTGATTCACTAAAAGAACCGACTCATTGGTGTCACTGTTCGGGCAGTGTATGTTTTTGATTCACTAAAAAGAATCAACTCATTAGAGTCATTCATTCAGGAATGGGACTGTACTGGTCGAGTTGTATGTTTTTAATCACTAAAAACAATTGGCTGTTTACAGTCATCAATTTGTGATTCAGACTGTACTGGTAGTGTTTTATGTTTCTGGTTCACTAAAACAAACGACTCCTTGGAGTCATGAATAAGAAATTCTGATTCACTAAAAGAACCAACTCATTAGAGTCATTTGTGTGAGAATTGAACTACACGGATCGCTGTGTTTTACGTGAATCATTTGACCCTATAGCTAGACGGTTTGGCCAAGCCAAATAGACAACATTTCTGTGATTTGGACTGAGTGACCTTCAATATGTCACTGCAACTGCAATGTTTGAACTGATACTGCAGTATTTGGGACCTGAGAGCAGCCAAATTGCAACTTATCCTCCCCATCAGACGGCTGAACTCTGAGAGGTTTCATAAATGTAAAATGATGACAGATCGGCCACAAAACCCTCAAGTTCAGATGCCCATGTCAAGTAGAGCAGACCTTTGCAGAATTCTTCAGGAACAGTCCATAGTGCTACTTTGATACATAAGCATCCTTGTCAGTCTATTGAATAGACTATGCTTATAAATGGATTCCCACATGCACAAGATAAACATATTTTCTCATTGAATCAAGCTTAGGACGACTTATAAGGCGAGTCTACATGAAAGATCTCTCTGACCTGACAGGGAACCAAAGGAAATCTTAAAATCGCAAAAGAACTGAGCTCATAAGTCACAGACCGAACCTAAGATTGTGCCAGTTGTAAGCAAGACAATCGTGTTTGATTTGCATCACTGTCTTCTGGAATAATCCTAGCATGCACACCTGCCACTGCAGATCAGAGCGGAGGATGGGGACGTAGACGCTATTTCCCGAACCCACCTGACCCTAATGTTCCACAGCAGCACTTTGCTCGTGCCTCTCGAAACCTCCTGAATTACTTGCGCTCATCCAAACTCACTACACTCCAGTACAGACCGCTCATGTGACTCGAGTCAGCGGTCCCCAGTGCTTTGAACTCTGTGGAGTCAGCCTTCAAGCTTCAGTTGTAACTCTGCAGCTTGACTTTGACCCTGTTTGCTGTTGACCTTTGAAATCGCAGCCAGTGATATACAGAACATTTGCATCATGCACGACACAACGACACAAAGTCATTCAGAGAAAAACATTCCTAATTCTAGAAGATCCCACCCCCCGCCTTGAACTTAATGACAATTTCCACCACAGTTGATGCTTTGTGTTTGAAACATTCTCTTATGAAAATTACATTTGAACATTTTTGGAATAAACGGACCACCTTCTTAATCTTGCTATGGTTAAACAAATTGGTATTTTGCTACATTGAATTTTATGCATCCTAAATACATCAAATGAAATAATAATTTCACTTTTTTGCATAATTTGACACAATTAGACAATCCAAACTTGACTGGAAATGACACTATGAAAATATTCTGCTCACAATTATATTTACCTTGATATTTTACTCTTTGGGTTGGCAAGATGTTTTTGAAGTGTCTTATGTTCAATAAGGTTGCATATATGTGACCACAAATATAGTAAAAACAGTAATATTGTGAAATATTATTAAAATTTTAAATAATTGTTTTCTATTTGAAAATATTATAAAATGCAACTTATACCTGTGATCAAAAAACATTTCTGATGATCAATTTTGAAAACAGTTGAGCTGCTTCCTATTTTTGGGAAACCATGATACATTTTTAAGGAATATTTGATTAATTATATGTTCAAAACAACAGTATTTGTTAAAATAGATATCCTTTGTAACATTATGTCTTTACTATCACTTTTGATCAATTTAATGCATCTTTGCTGAATAAAAATAAAATAATAATGTTATTAAAAAAAAAACTCTTGCTGACCCAATGGAAAAGTAGTGTACCTCCTTATGTTATTCACACATATATCATGTTTCATCTCAAGTTCTACACTGACATTGTGAAAGAAAACACAAACCTTTGAAAGAAAGAAAAAATTATGGTGGAAACGATGATGAAAAATTAATTAAATTATTAATGGTTAAAAAAGATATTAAATTATTGTGTCACAATACATTTGACATTTGTTTATGATTATTTCACTCGGATTAGATTACCATAGTTTGAAAAATGTAATAATTCTTATATTTTTCATGCATTTTAATATTGAAATAATCTGGGACAAGAATAAATAAAATCCACAATAAAATCATACATACAGTAAGTGCCATTTGAAAATGTAAAAGTCACCAAGACTTAAACGTGAACTTTATATAATGTAAGAAAAAGCTCAAATCTGTTAGTTTTAATAAAACCAACCCTTGGGACATAAAGTACAACTGGAAGTTAAAGAAACCCAATTCTGCGGCCCACAGGTTTGTTCCCCACGAGGAGAACGATCACCATTGTTCTCTTCAGCAAAGCACTTAAACCCAGGTTTCTCCAGAGGGGACTGTCACTGTAATCATTTGTGCTGCTGCTCTATGCTGAAGTCGTGGAAACACATTCGGTCCTGCTATATGTGGCAAAAACATAAAGATCCTGAGCCAAGCTAATCCAATCTGTCCTAACATTCTATAACTAGCCTCAGTATTCTGGTAAATACCTGGATTGATTTGGTTTCATCAACTGACATCATCTGCACAACATTGAGTCAAAGTCCTTCACTTGCTGTTTTAATCAGGCATACAGATGTGATATGACTATTCAGGGAGTAAACAATCTGGCCAATGGCTGAAGAGAGAGCTGGAACAGCCACGGAAATCCCGGACAAAGCCATCTTGACAAACGTGGCACCAGACCAAACCTCACTGAATGGCTGATCCAAAGCCAGTCCGAAGAGCCAAGCAGTGGAATGTCATTCAACACAAGGATGTGCCACAGGATCTCTGCTGAGCATAAACTGCGCTCAGGGGCTTGAGGAAAGCCATGGGATGAGAAATCTCTACTGCTGAAGACTACTCAATAAAAGCAAATGAAGTTAGGCTGAGGAGGTCTATAATAGCAAGAAAATGCTATCCGTAAGCATTACAGCAGCATTCATCTCAATGGCAGTAGCTCAACAGGCACATGCCAACTTGAAAGTTTGTGCGCTGGCAAATTTGATCAATTCCGGAAACATTTTTTTTTTTTCAGCAAATCACATAAGCTGTAAAAAAGTAAAAAGTAATAACATATTTTTAATCACACTCTCAATATGTATGCGAGTCTACATTATTTTCAATATATATATATATATATATATATACACATTTCAATGTCATGAATTAATTTATCTGGTTTTTGGGGAGTCGCACAACATGACATTTTACCACCTAAACTAAACTTGCCTTGTCATAAAAAGGTCAAATTATGGAATATGTTAATAGACTTATTGACCAAGACACACAAAATTGATGTAATTTGCTATTTTGTATTATTTGTTTCTGCACGTTGGTTGCACCACATGACTTTAGTCATGCCTCTTGTGCAATTTCAAATAATAATAAGCAACAGAGCAGTTTTGTTCATTTAATTTTATTCTAAAACAGTAATAAATTTAATGTCAAATCAGGTGTTATTTTCAAGAATTTCATCATTTTAATCTTTTTTCTTCATTATTATATCAGAACAGTTCACCTTAACCTTTTCGACTATGTAAAAAAAAAAAAAAAAACAGGAATTAAAAACGTTCATCATAGAAAAGGTGTATTCAAGACACTGTATGTAGGAATTACAAAAAAACACATATTTGACCCAGATGCCCTAAATCTGTCTCAAAATATTAAGGTCTAAATTATGAAATGATTAGTGCTAATTAGACTGTAAATACATTTTAAAAGTTGAAGCTGAAAGTGGTACCATCTAGATTGCAAATATCGATTTTAAGCACTGATTGTCTATGACAAGCCATTGAAATAGTTCTTCTAAATCCGTGAAACTTGGAAGCTCCGGGGCAGCAGTAGCATGAATTTACTCCTCATGATTAAAATGTTGCTGCAAATGAGCCTGACTCTCTCCTCCGTCCATTAACATCATGTCCACCCTACGCTCGCCAACTTCTCATTGCTCCATCTTACCATATTGACCCATTCCCTCAAAATGTCAGTTTGCCGGCACCTGTGCACCTACTTCTATGAATAGCCAAGCGTTAATTAACTCTACACATCTGTGTGCATGCAGCCATCCAATTTCCATATAACTTCATTAGTGAGTTATTACACCGGGTCTGGCCTCGACTCCACGCCACTTTGAGTCAACGTGGGCCGGCGGAGATTCAGGTTCAGGTTGCAGGTT